AAATCAGTTATGACACTGACATCATTTTGGCCTGTTGAACACAGTTCACCTGCAACAGCCTTGAGCAAGTTTATGTAGCCTAGTAAAATAGAAGATTTTCATGGCAGCTACTGAAATAAGATTAGAGAAATTTTGAAGTTTTGGGGTTTTTTCTCTCTTTGTTTAAAAGAGGAGAGGTAGAAGACATGTGGAAACTCCAAGAAACACTTTTTACCATGCAGAAGAAAATGGGGGAGGTACTAGCTAAAAACCCAACTAATAAACTGACAAGTCAATTTTTTTATGTTTGGATATATGCTCATAAAGTGTTTCTTCTCTTCTAGCACCTCTTCACTTTACACCTAAAATGTATGTAATATACCCACAAAGGCTGTAGACCTGACTGTTGTTGAAAAGGGTATCTTACTGATGCTCAGCTGGCTTTCTCTACTCTGAACTACTAAACCCCTCAATGACTTTCATTCCTTCATGTAACATGCTTCCTGAATGATCAGAGGGTCTTCACTGTACCCCATTGCAGCCAAGTGCAATGAGTAGGTGCATGCACCATTGAGTCTGTCACTGACTGCTATGACAGACACTGATGTTTGCTTTTAACAAGTCCAAATGTGGAATCAGGTCTCAGGAGCAAAAGCAGAAAGAACTCTCTTCTTCATTTTTACTGAGCCCTCCAAACAAAGCTACAACAACAACAACAGCAACAATCATTCCCCACCAAAAAATACTAAACTGAAAAATGCACAAATCAAAAACTTGAAAGTCAGGTGTAGGTTAAGGAGACTGGAAGAGAGTGAGTGGAAGGGAAACAGGCAGACAGAAGATGAGGGGGGAAAGTGTTATCAAATGAAAAATGATTCTGAATAATACAACTTCAGGAGACTGAGCTAGAAAGGGTCTAGGTTTAAGCAAAGAAAGATGGAAAATAAACAGCTTCTTGGTCTCACATGATGCTTCTTAATGGCTTGGAGTTATAACAGGGAATTTAACAGCTCACTGGGTTGTAAGTGAAAGAGAAGAAAGAATGAGAAATGGGGTTTTGATTCTTTTTATTTTTTTAGCAACCTAATCTAGTGGATGGTGTCCCTGATCATAACAGAAGGGGAAGCCTAGATGTTCTTCAAGGTCTCTTCCAAACCATTCTATGAATTTGTGATATTATTGGTCTTGGAATGGCACTTCATTGACAGGATGGAAATCAGACATTCATCAGTTAGCTCAGGGCTAACAGAGTAAGAAAATTAAGACTGAAACAAAAAGGTTAAAAGAGGGCAGGAACTGAAAGACGTGGGTGAGAGAAACTATGTTGAGTCAGGAAGCAGTTGAATGTAAAAAAGTAAGATGTGGTTGAAACTAAAGCCTGTGATCACATAATTAATTGCAATAGAATACAGAACAAGACGGTTTGAGTTGCGCTTCACGGAGTTATAGTCATTCTTGCAACACTTTCCCAACTTCTGTGTGCTTAATTTCTAGGACTAGTACTGCAGTGCCTCTATCCTGTTTGCAGGAAAAGGTAATTTTGTTAACAAGGAAAGAGGTAGCAGGGCTAAATCTTAACTGAAAACTTACACAGCCTAGTGACAGCCCTTTAATTGCAGTTGTTATAGCAGAAAATGTGTACATTTTCTCCAAAGACTTGAACCAATGCATAAAGACACTGGGTTCCAGTGTCATAATCCCTGTGGTTAGAATGTTTTCATCATATGCTACAGGGGTCTACCATTTTGTCATGTATGTTAGTCTTGGAGATGGTAAGAAAAGTCTGAAGGATTCATCTGCAAGAGCATGTTTATCCCATGACTTACCTTCACAAGTCTTTTTACAGAGAAATATTTCTTATATACATAGTAGGAAGAAATGAAGTTTCAGGAACAGCCATGATAATGTAAATAGTTAGTAATGTAGAAAGACAAGTTAAATCAAAGCAACTGTTTTTCACAACACAAAATTGTGGAATCATAGAATTGTTTAGGTTAGAAAAGACCTTCAAGGTCATCAGTCCAACTGCTACCAGCAAGGACTGGAAAATGTTTGAGCCAGGTGCAAGGAATCTGTTCAACCAAACAGTTAAAAATCATTGTAAAACAGTTGCTTTTCACACCAGTGCTATCCACCTGGAGTGAACTGATGTTGGCAGAGACCCTACTGAGAAAGCAAGATGAGGCTGTACAACTAATCAGCATCCCTGGCCAAAGCTGAAGATACAAAAAGACACAGATGTACCCGTACTTTGGCAAATCACTAGAAAGCTTGAAGCAAGAAACAAAGTACAGTAGAAATGTAGACTTTCTAGGCATCTCTGTCTTTGGCACCCACAAAGATTCATCGTATTACTGAGCCAAAAAGAATTGGTACAACATTCTTCACCTGACCATGACCCATTCACTCAGCTGTGCCAGGACATAGCACAGGACTGCTTATGTTGAGACTCGAGGCTGCAATTCAGTATGCAGTGTTGCTGACACACTCTGAAAAGAAGGGGAATGGGGGAAAAGAGAGAGAAGGTAGAAGGTTAGCATGTCCCTGTGGGCTCAGGACAAGTTCTCCAAAATCATTTCTGGTTTGTTTGTAGGAGTAAGCAGTAAACAGAGCAGTGTTTATGTGTATGGTTTCTGAGACCACCTTACTTTACTGTCAGCCAACTCGTCTATTCCTTTCTTTAGAAGTTGCTAAGGAAATTTTAAAGAAACGTGTTGATTTTACTGTTTGATTTTATCTTGCTAGAAGGACTGAAAGTATACTCATAAAGACTAAACAAAAACTGTTGTAGGAAAGAGTATCTTTGGTACCTCAGTGGGATACACTTGATGCTTTCATGAGGGCACATGAGGATTATGTGAGTGATGCCTTAGGATTTTTAGGATTTTTAGCTTTTTGTAGATTTTAGTATAGCTGTGTAGTTTCTCACACTTTAGAATAGCAGCTGACACTTACCCAATCCTATTCTTACACTCCATATAGAATTTTCTAAATTCTTTAGGCGTGTTTAGGTTCTTTTTCAAGGAAGGTCTATAGCAAACACATCCTGTTTAAGAATAGAGGCACTCTAGACTGGAATAACAAAGTATCTTGTACCTAAAGCAATGTTGAAGGCCCAGAATCTTGAAGAAGCTCCAAAGATAATATGTGCCAGAAGGAGATCCAGGAAGATGAGGAAGAAATGGATCTTGAGACCCCTCACCCAGTCCCGGGGAGACATGCCAGGGGGGGCAATTCTGGGAAGGATCTGGAGGAAGTTAGTTCTCAGATTGGATGGATAGTACCATAAAACTGTAGAAACCCTGGACACGGTGCGTGCCAGAAGGTCTTCATTAAAGACCTGCTCTCTGTCTTAACTATACTGACATTGTCTGCTGAGTCTTATTCTCCTGATTTTTAGGCAACATGAGGAAAGACCCTGCTGTTCCGAGTCTCACAAAGGTTGTTGCATTTTTAGTAGCATGGAAACTCCTTCCCTTTGTGAACAGAGATATCCAGTCTATATTTGGGAAGCAAAGTACTAGAAACTGAAGTAGTGATAACCTCTGGTAATAATAAAGTACTTAATAATTCTACGTCCAGATAAGCAAGAATAAGGCTTGAAAAGTTTCTAACTGAGATGCCAAATTGAATTCACCCTACTGATAGGGACATGGTACATATAGAACTGAAATGATTTTCCCAAAGGCCTCAGAATATGTGAAAAGAGAACCAAGGTTTCCTGGACACTAATTCATTGTTATTTGACTGTGTTATACTAATGCATCCAGCATTTTCCCCTGTGTTTTTTTCCCCTCTTCAAGACAAGAAGTGATCTTCAGGTAACCTTCCTACCTCCATACATCACAACAAAAAATTGTCCCCACAAATTTTCTCTAACTTAAGTGTTACACATCTTTCACCTGATCTTCCCACTGTGGATGCTTGATAATGTTTTCTCCAATCACTGCTCAGGCTGAGATTTTTAATAGAATAAAATTATTGGTGCTTGTGTGTAGGTCCAACTAGGTCAGCAGTAAACATGAAAATGACTCCAGCAAAAGACTGGTGTCTGGAATTCATGTTGCAATAAAATAATATTAAATGTCATAGCCAAAAAAAGTCCTCATAATCAAGCTTTATGTTATGATTCATCCATGATATTAGAAGGGTTGACAGTTGAAGGATTTAGAAATACAACTAGGCAACTGTCACATTTCCTCCCGTAATGTGTCAGAACTGCATAAGATGAGCATAAGTCATAGGATGTTGTTCTACTTCCTTATGTGTCAGATCTGACTAATTCTAGAAGTTCAATTTGGTTTTTTATGTAAGTGTGATATAACCCAAAACTTGGCCATGATTTGAAGGTTTTGGCATAAATCTAAGGGATCCTGGATGTTTGGAATTTTTTTGTCCCAGAAAAAAATAAGTCTTAAATTTAGATTGTTGCATCTAGAGGTCTCTTGTTCATTTTATTTGTAAAACTGATGCACATTATTAATTTCACAACAGCTAAAGGACTCAGTTCTGTTGGTGCATTGGGAGCACAGCTCAATGAAATACTTTTTCAATCAGAGGCTCAAAAATCGTGGGAGATCTGTAGACGGTTTCTTAGGCTTGTTTTGTTAACTTGTCTGTATAAACTACTGTCAGGATATTTAAAGCTATTGTGCAGTAATGTATTTTTATGCAGGAAAATATTATGAAGTTTGTAACTGGGAAAAAAATTAAACCACTGACCTTGAAGGTTATTGAGATGCCTGCATGCTCTTGGGTGTTGCACAGAATTCTACGTACAGTCTCCAGTATTGCTTACAGCCTTATATATATCAATGCCACTGTAACTCTCATGCAAATGACTACCACAACCTCTAAGCTTTTTATACTAAGCTTGACCCATAGGTGTAGTTCGTTGTCCCATATATTTTTAAAGTAAAGCGGATTATAAATGGTACTTACAATCTCTGCCTAGTGGCGGTAGCACCTAAGGAAATCATGTATGTACATGGGTAAAAGCAGCAGAGAAAGAATAATAATGCTTTAGATACGCTTCTATGTTCTCCATGTGCAATGATTAATGCTTCTGAACTCAGCAGGAGGCATTGGTACAAGTTGCTGTGAACACGTTGAAAAACTGGACCTTCTCTATGCTTTCAGTTCTGATTCATCTGGGTTCTTGTACAAGCCTGTGAAACAGTAAGTGCAGCAGTCTCATCTCCTCCCTTTAAACAAAGGCAAGAAAATAATAATAATCTGGTTTTCTGAATGCTGTTACTGCTTTCCCTTTTCTGCTCTCTTCTCCCAGACCACGGCAAGGAGTTCCAGAAAGGAGATTAATAGCTTTTAGAAGGTGTCACTGAGACAGTGTGTCAAAACTAACATAAATAAAATGGGCTGCTACTTTCACATCACCATGTTCATGTTCCAGTGTTCCCTGGAATTTGGACACAGGACAATGCACAGCAGTGGTATTCCTCCTGAGGCTGCTGTGGAGGTAATAGTGTGTCAGAGCAAGGTGCTCCTGATAGTTATTTCAGGCTTTCATAGTTCTCTTTCTTACAGCTGCACACAGCCAGATTTGGAGAAAGCCTGCTTTGGAGTGAACTTCCTACACGCTGAATCCCCCACACAATCAGACTTTGGTTCGTATGACCTAAACTTGTCTTATTCTATAAACAAGCACCAGACTTTATTTTGTTAGTGGATTTGAGGAATAGTCATCTTGATGGTGATTATTAATACCTTCTGTTAGTCTACCTGACTTCACTCATCTGCAGTCATTCTTTCATTACAGAGTATCTTCATTCCTCCTAAGGGACCCACTTAAGAAGTTCATCATTACCCTCCCCAAGCCGGAGTCACGCAATGTGACACCAAAGCATGACCAGTGAACATCTCTCTCAAAACACGTCACCCTCCTCTGGGTGTTGGTTTGAATAAACAAATAACGATTGCTTCCTAGAAGCATCTGACAAAGAATACCGGCATTGTGATGTAACTGGTTGAAAGCAGGAAAGGCAGGACTCCTGTCTACCACACCCTATGTTGTCATGTACTTGGAATTCTCTTAATGCTCCTGCAGCCTTTGAAGAGAAGACAAAGGCCCCATTTCTGTAGCCCATACTTCCAAGGGAAGGTTATTATGAGAAACACATTATGAGAAATAACTCCCAAAAACTGGCTGTCCTCCAGGAAATTAATTTTTTAAAGAACTTTAAATATTCACAGTCTGATATGACATAACTCCAAATTAAATATCAACCAAACTTTTTGCTGTACTGTAGGAATCTGTCTGACAGTGTCAACCTATTAAGGAAATAATAAACTTGTATAGGCTTAAGGTACTTGCTGGCTACCTTCCAACATATTCTTCCAACATAATTTTTATAAAGGGGAAAAAGCAATGACAATATATACGAGCATTCGGGTCAGTATGGTAGAGCATTTTATGTTGGCCGAAAGGTGAGGTCTGACTGAATGCCCAATCAGTCAGCTGAAAACTTTGAGCAGTCTCTGAATTAGGCTAATGTTTATGACACCGGTGAGTCAAATTCATCTTGGATGTACCCTGGTTGAGAGAGGGCTTGACTGTGGGTGCCCCCCTTTGGATCTGGCTCCAGGAAAATTCCTACATTTTAGAATCATATTACAACTATTTTTGCCCTCTAAGACATCTTAAAGACTTTATTTAATGGAAATTGAAAGAAATAGTATTATGAAGAGATCCGTTATTATTAAAATCAATGATATAAATAACCTGAGTTGCTGTGTCTCATCCCCTAAGTATAACGTCCCTTAAGCATATCATCCCTGTAAATAAATTTGCTTTTATTTTGTTATTTCTTTCCATTTTGAAGTCTAGCACTCCTCAACATGCGTCTTTTGTGGAAAGCAAAAAAAAGACGTACATTGAGAACAAGACTTTAAGCCTCTTCTCAAGCTGCCCGTTGTTGTCTGTTTCATGACTTTTGTCCTCTTATTTCCCATGTGTTTATCTTCAACAATCACTCAAGAGCTAAATTTGCAAAGAACTATCATTAAAATGAGGTTCCCATCTTACAGGCTTGAAAGTAGTTACCTGATTAAACTACATGCCTGAAGTTCATAAAATCAAGGTCACAATGTGATCTTCGGAAATACACGTGTGTCGCATGATGGCACTATGGGTTTTTTACAGTATTTTCACCCTCCTGGACAAAGACAGCACCGTGTTCTGGACCTCAAAGGTCTAAGGCATCAAGAAAAATTAAACAGTGAATTAATTTCATTAATTTCAAAATGTTTAACATAACATCCACTCTCCAATTTCTTATGTAAAATCATGGTTTGGCCTAAGGCAAGTCTAAGGCCATGCTCAGTAAAGTCATGTGAAGAAACTTTTATTCCTTCACTCACACCCTGAAGGGGATGCATATGAGATGGTGTGACAACAGAGAGCCTGTCCAACAAGAAGTTGAACAGCTTCATCTCTTATACACACAAGAATTCACATTTTGTTGTACTGAAATATCAAGACTTCTGGCTACAGAAAGAATGAAGGGGTTGATAGGAGGCTTTAACAAGGTGTTAAAATTGGTGAATACGTCTATCTGGACTTAAAAACAAACAAACAAACAAATAAGCTAGTAAAGACTGATCTAAATGACCTTATTTAGAGATTCAAAGAAAAAGATTCAGAAAGCTCTGAATCTCAGCTAAAGATTAGACAGCGCAGGGCTGAAGAAAACAGGGTAACACAGAAGGACAAGAGAGATACTGTTCACAATGTAGAGAGTAAATTCATGTGGCCAAAGCTCAATTAAGGTCCAAACTCAACAGCACTGTGAAGGACAACAAAAGAAGCTCCTTTGTTAAATATGTTAACTAAAAAAGAAGAACCAGAGATAATAGTTGTCCGTTATTCGATTAGGTCAGTCACCTCAAAAACAAGATGTAGACAAAGGAGAGCCATTTAGTGCCTTTTTTTCCTCTTTCTTTAAGACCATTGAGTCCTGAGCTCTGTTTTGGAAGACTGTAATTGGGGAAATTATAAGCTCCCAGATGACTCTGAATTTTTTTGGGCCTTACTGTTTCAGCTACATGCATATAAATTTATGAGAACCACTGAGACCCTGCCAGTATAGTGAAAAAGCTGGCCAATGTCATTGCAGAACCTCTCTCCACTATTTTTCAACAGTATTGTGAATCTAGAGAGGTCCTAGTCAACTGGAAGTACAGCAAATGATCTCCCAATTTTCAAAAATTTTAGGAAGGAAGACTTTGGTAATTACAGGCCTGTCAGTCTCACTTTAGTGACTTGTAAAATTATGGATAAATTTTTTCTGGGAGTTAGTGAAAAACACTTGAGATACAATACAGTCACTGGTGACAGCCAGCACTGATTCATGAGGGAAAAGTCCTGCTTCGCTAAATTAATTTCCTTTTATGACAAAGTCACCCATCTAGTTGTCCATGGAAAGGCAGTAGATGTGGGCTCTTCGATTTTAAGAAAGCTTTTGATACAGTCTCTCACAGTGTCCTTTCGGATGAAATGTCCAGCACACAGCTAGTCAAGTTCATAATTTATTGGGTGAGCAATTGGCTGATAGGTCAGTAAGTGGGGTTATATCAAGCTGGCAGCCAGTCACCAGTGGGGTTCCCCAGGGTTCAATTTTAGGGCAGTGCTCTTTAGTAGTTTTATAAATTACCCGGATGCAGGAATTAAATGTATCTTAAGTTTGCCAATTATACTAAAATAGGAGGAACTGCAAACTCCCTCCAGGGTAGAGAGGCCTTACAGAGAGATGAGGATAAACTAGAGAGCTGGGCAATAACCCACAGCATGAAATTTGACAAGAGTAAGTGCCAGATTCTCTGCCTGGGACAGAGTAATCCTGGTTACACGTAATTGGTGGAGAGACCAGAGAGAAATGTCAAAGAGATTCCTTGGTTTGGGTAGATGGCAAGTTGGATACGAGTCAATGATATGCCCTGGTGGCCAAAAGAGCCAGACCTGTCCTGTGGTGCATCAAGCACAGCATCATCAGCCAGTCCAGGGAGGTGATCGTCCCACTCTACAGTGTGCTGGTGCAGCCCATATCAAGTCCTGTGTACAGTTGCGGGTGCCTCAGTAAAAGAAGGACATCAGATCATTGGAGCGTATCCAGAGGAGGGTGACCAAGGTGGTGAAAGGCCTTGAGGACAAGGCATACGAGGTCACTCTTTGTTAACCTTGAGAAGATAAGGTTGTGGGTTGTCCTTACCAGACACTACAGCTTCCTCACGGAGGGCGATGGAGAAGGATCTGGTCTCTCTGACAACCAGCAACAGGACACGAGGAAACAGAGTGAAGATTCATCGGGGGAAATTCCTGTTGAACACTGGGAAAATGTTCTTTGTCAAGAGAGTTTTTGGTCACTGGAACAGGCTCCACAGAGAAGAGGTCACAGCACCAAGCTTGTCAGAGGCCAAGGGCTGTCTGGATGATGCTCTATCATACAGTTTAGTTTTAGATAGTCCTGCAAGGAGCAGGGAGTTGAACTAGATGATCCCCTTCCAACATAACACATTTTAAGATTGTAAAATGAAGAGAGAAGGTCTGACCGACAGGACAAAAATGCAATTTGTTTACTGTTTACTGTTTTTGTTTATTTACAGAGAAACCTGTTTCCTCAAAACACTTATTAATTTAACAAATCTGACAACCCTAGAGATTTAGCAAGGTGGCCGTAAATAGGCATATCTTTTTATCTTTGTAATTCAAAAGTATAACCATGGACTTGCTAACTGTTACACTGATGCAAGGCCAGTGAGAGGTAAGAATTAGGCCACCAGATGGTGAAGAATAAATTCATGAACCCATAGGGTACATTATGTATTTAACTTTCTGAATGTTGCTTATGAAGAATAACAGAAAGGGTTTATTTTCATTATTTTTAGGTTATTTACAGTAGAATTTTTGGAACTTTTTATTACTATGAACACTTTTTAAACTAGCATAAAACTTTGGACTATTTCTTCTTATATTTTCATTTTAAGAAGTTTGATTTTTCAGGTAACCTGAAATATTTTTGAAAAATAATATTAATTTTTCAGATTTTTTAAAAAATGTCTTCAAAAAGAAAGTTTGAACAGAGTTGAATCATTACTTTTTTAATGCTTCTTGTATAACAAAAAATTGTCCTTTAATAGTTCAATGTCCTAACAAAAATAATGATATAAACTTGGACTTTTACTTAACAAGGCATTCATAGATCACTGAGGAAGAATTTCAGTGGGATTCTTACTAATCTACAGAATGGCATAAACAATTTGGGATTATATAGAAACTGGTCTCTAAATATCCATATAACTGTATGACATATTTTGTACTGGTGGCACTGATTTTGTGTGTGTGGCTGCTTTTGGCTTTCTTTTCTAAAAAATATTGATGGAGTTTTTGTCATCAGAACTTGCGAATATGAGAGAGAAAAATGTCTTTGCATATGTCTCACACAAAGGACTTCCAGATGATTATAGTGACACAATAAGGGTCCTGGTCTAAAATCAATGCACCTCTAAGATTATCAGATATGTCTGTGAATTTTTTGCTTGACTGTACTAAATCCTTGCAAAGTTCTCTGATCAATAAATCTCAGATTTTAAAGTACTGATGAAATATTTTGCAGAGAGCATCCAGTTTGCTGTAACAACATTTTGCTTTCCCAAGTTCACCACACTACTTTTTGTGATTCTAGATGCTGTAAAGGACCTGGCACTCAGGGTTGGTGGCCTTACCCTCTCAGCCTCCTTGACATGTGTCAGCTGCAGTTCCACGGATGTGGCTATTCACACCTTTGTGCCTATAAGGATTTTCAGTGCTGTGACAGGTATATGGAGCAGCACCATGGGACACGGAGCTAGCTACAGGACACATCCAGCACTGCTATCTACACAGTCAAGACTTGCCTTGCTATCAGAGCAACTGGCTCAGGTTGCAAGTTTTACTTCTTAAAGAGGATGAGGGTAAAAAAATATTAAAAATAACAAGAGTTTTGGGGAGGAATCAGCTTGTCTGCAATAAAACCTGTTTGACAAGTGGGAATATCATTTGCAGTGTACTTATGCTCCTATCCCAGTTAGAACGGGAGACTACTTAATTTTCTTTTGTGTTTTGGGTTTTTTTCCACTTTTTCCCTTTCTCTTTTCCTTCATTTTCTCTTTTCCTTTATTTTCCCTTCGCTCCCCCCTTTTTTTCTTTTGCTCTTTTTCTTTTTCCTTTTCCTTCCCTTTCTCCACTCCTCCATCTCTCCTCTCTTTCCGCCGAGGGCACACGCAGTTCCCGAGCGCTGTCCCGGGCGCCTGGCGCAGTCCCCACCGTGCGGGGGCGCCCCGCGGCCGCGGCCGCGCCGCGCCTCTTGTCCGGGCACCGCGGTGGGAGGGCCACGCCGCGCCTCTTCCACCTGCCAGCGGCTTTAAAGTTGCAGCCGGGCGGGACGCGATGACTCGGGTCGCGCTGCCCAGGCCGGCGGCTGTCGGGGTGCTTGGCGGTCTCGCACACGGAGCAGAGCCGTTTTCCACCGTCGCCCCCGCCTGCCCGCCGTCGCCTTTCCCCGCGGCGGCAGAGCAGGGCCGGGGAGGGGGCGGCAGGGGCTGGTGTGCCCGGGAGATGCCCGAGCCCGCGGCGGGTCCCCCACGCGGCGCGGCCGCCGTGGGTCTCGGCGCCTCCGCGCCCCGGCAGCGGCCGGACGGACGCGGGTAGAGCCGGCGCTGCCGCCGCCGCAGCCGTGGGCCCCTGCCAGGCAAGCCATGGAGCCGCCTGACCTCCGCGACGTCGAGCAGAAACTGGGGCGCAAAGTGCCCGAGAGCCTGGCGCGGCCCCTGCGCGGGGAGGAGCTCGCGGCCCGCCCCGCCGCCGCGGCCCCCGGCCCCCGGCACCGCCGCGCCGCCGCTCTGGCCCGTCTGGAGGCGAAACTTCAGCTCCTGAGGCAGGAGATGGTGAGTAGCCGGGCGCCGGCCGCAGCCCTCACGCTCCGCCGCCTCCCGCTCGGCGGCACCGGCCGGGATGGGGACGGCGCTGCGCTCCCCCTGCCCTGCCGGCCCGCCCTGGGAGAGGCGCTGCCTGACCCGGGAGCAGCCGCCGCCTCGCATCCATCCCCCGGCGGGGCCGGGCGGCAGCGGGGGCTGCGGGGCCGGGAGGGCAGGAGGCTGCTCGGCGGAGCGGCGTAGAATGAGGAACTTGCCGGTTCCTTCCCTCGCAGCGTGGCAGTTCGCCAGTGACTCGCTGTTGGCTTCCGTTCCTCTGTCAGCTCGTTAGAAGTACTGAAAGCTGGAGTACCAATAAACGAAAGAATGCACTTATCTCTCACCTTTGTAAGTGCATTTTCTGCATCGCACCTGTTTCCTGCTGATGACTAATACCTAAGGAGACACGGGATATTTTGGGGCTGGAAATTTGGCCCAGAATTCAGGGACTTGATTTCTGGACTTCAATCTTCAGAGACTTAATTAGTTCCAAACAGGCTACAGATGATGCACACTAATTCTTGAACAACTATTTATAATTTGGTGGAATGATTTCTCTTTTTTTTGCTAGTGATCTGTGATGGGACTAAGGTGTTCGTAGTTTGGAACTTTTAACTTGTTTACTGTCTTAATGCAGGCGCTTGTCCTCCTTTGTATGCCACCATCTCAATAAATTTATTTTTGATGATGCCATAAAACTGGCTTAATTTTTTAAGACAAACAAGAAGAATGCTCTTTGCAAGCAAGTGAGCACCTAGTGAACACAGCACATACGATCTTGACAATGCAGGGTACCTCAGATTTGCAGCCACAATTAGCTTCTATTTTTATTAGGGAATAATTGTTATGTGAGGTCCTAAAAAACTCTTTTCAGTAGCAGTTCTTTCCATAGCTCCTGCCACTAAGCTTATTTGAACACAGGATAAAATTTGATCATGTTGGGATGAGGATTTTTCTGGCAATGTGTTGAGATAACTTTGTGCAACAGTCTTGGAACTCAACCGTTTACAGCAAACAAATCAATCTCAATCTGTGTGAACGACTGTAATGCCATACCTTCAGTCCCTGTGCAATGTCACATAGATAGATGGATAGATATAAGTAAAAGGTGTGTGGGTTCATAAGTGTTTTTAAAGAAGAAGAATGCTAAGCAAAAAGAGGAAGAGAATGGATATTTTGGGAGTTAATAGCGAAAAAGGTAATGTTAATCTTGAGGGGTAATTTATAAATCACACTTGCTATTGTAGAGCTTCAGGTTATTTAAGAGATACACACAAATCAAGATATCAACATATTCTGTGGAGACCTTTTAGGCACCTTTCAGTATCTAAACAGGGCCAAGAAGAAAGCTAGAGAGGGAGTGTTTACAAAGGCATGTAGTGATGGGACAAGAGGGAATGGCTTTAAAATAAAAGAGGAGAGATTCAAATTAGATATTAGGAAGGAATTCTTTATTCAGTGGGTAGTGGGGCACTGAAATAGATTGTCCAGAGAAATTGTGGGTGCTCCATCCCTAGCAGTGTTCAAGGCCAGGTTGGACAGGGCTTTCAGCAACCTGATCTTTTGGAAGGTGTCCCTGCCCATGGCAGGAAGATTGGAACTAGTGATATTTAATATCCCTTCAAACATAATTCTGTGATTCTATGCTGTTAGTTTAATGATCACTGGGAATTTCAGTTTAGCATTAACACACTGTCAGCATATCTCATGTTTATTTTTTAATTTTAAGCTTGCACAATATTGTAGAATGACCTGCAGGTAGCTTATAATGTATGGGATCTCAGACTGCAAAGGAAGCAAATAAGGTAGCCAGAGTTCTCAGCATGCCTGTCTAGACATATCATGACAATTAGGCCTATTAAGGGAGGGGGATGCCAGTGAGTTGCCCATATCACCCTTTCCTTTCAAGTTGGTCTCTTCACCTACTTCATACTTAAAAGTTTCATGTCACAATCTTCGATTTGCCTCTTCTTCCTCCTGCCACCCAGTTTCCCTCTTTTTCCTTCATGCCGTAAGCATAAACATGTTTTAGTTCCAAAAGCCTTGACCTCTGCTGTTCTTCGTCACTTCAATGACTGACTGCCTTTCGCATCTGAACTCATTGCTCTTGGTAAGCAAGGAGAATTCAGTTACGCATCTCTTCCCATTTGACTTCCGGTCTGTGTATACACATTAAACCACCAATAAGATGACTATTTGTGAAGTATTACTACCCTGTCTATATCTTATTCATGCTTTCAGCTGTGTTCTGTAATCCAGAGCGTGAAAGTGAACTACCTTCCTGAGGTTTGTCTCTAGTCTCTACCATTTTTTCTATTTTCTTCTATCCTAAGAGTTTCTTAATGGTCTTAATCTGTCACTTTCCCCTCTGCAGTTTTCTTTGTTACATTGTGCAGATTTAATCAATTTAAGAACAATACCAGGTAATAATTGTGGTTCCTTTCTATGTTTTTTTTTCTCTTTTACTGCATATCAGTCAAAACTTCTTATTTCAGACCTCTATCTTATTTATTGTTCTTTGGCTTTGCTGCATGGCCTAAGATGCCTTTAACATATAGAAAAGTAATTTATATTTGCTGCAGTAGTAAAAAAATGCAAAAAATGGAACATACTAGAAGCTTAGAAAACCGAGTGTCATCCATCAAGCTGTTTTTTTCTGGTTGTGCTATGATGGCAAATTCCGCAGCCCAATCGCTGAATTTTGGATAGACCTATCTATGTTTCTTTTTTGCTTGCTTGTTTCAGACTTGAGGCAAACTTTTTGTAAGCATATACAAAACAAGGTTATTCAGGCTCTTCTTTTCTAGTCAAATATGGAAAAAGTTACAATATTTGACTTGGAAATGCTGGTTTTGACTGTGAGTTACAGTACCTGACAGACTGGGGGGGGGGGGGGCGTGGTGTGACAACTGTATGCCTCCTGGGTAAAGGTCTTGAGGCTCCTTCACAGCATATGGTTCTTTTTCCCTCGAGCCTGGTTTTGCTGATAGTCACTCCAATCACACACAAAGCACCACAGACTATCTTTCTAGAAAGGCAGACCTGTTTGGCCTTACTTCCCTTTCCTTATCCTCCACTTTCCCCAACAAGGCCACAATGGAGACTGGGTTGTATGCTGAAAACCTTTGAATTAAAAGGCCATAAAGTTACCAGAGTAGCAAGATGTAATTGCCAGTGCAGGTCAAAACACTGTGCTCTGGTCAGCCTAGAGTGGAATGAGTACTTCCTACTAGCTAATGTGGTCTTGACTCAGTATGAAATTTGTCACAATGTTACTGTTAAGCTCTTTTTTCCCTGTGGTATTTTAGGTGGAATGTTCCACTGGGGAATTAATAATAACCCTTTATAGCTGCAGCCCTTTTTCTAGTGTACCATGCTCCTGAGGTCACCATTCAACACATATAACTTCAGCAGCTATGCACTACAGTAAATAATCAGTGAGGCTTATTCTGCAGCCTGAAATGATACTGCTTCAAAAGCCTCAATTCTCCTTCAAAAGTTCTGAGGTTACTCAAAGGGAGATTTTCCTTAACATTTGAAGAAAGAGAGTGGGTTTTGGTTTTTTTTCCTTAAATTCAAAAGTTTCCAAAATCAAGTTTTTAATGCCTTTTTTGAAAGCTAAAAAATTAAAGAATATAGTCTGCATTACATGCAATAATTAAAAAAATATTCTGCATAAAAATGTATCAGGCAGAAAAGATACGCCATGGCTTGGAATTGAGGGGTGGATGGCAGCGCTGGGACTTTTGAATGAGAATCCTTCTGGTGAACACTGTTGAGGATCAAATACTGTTTATGAGTCTGAAAGTCAAAATTGGTATACTGAGTGCAGCAGTTTTTAGAGTGAAGGATAAAGAAATTGAAACAATCCTATTTTCAAGGAGTGGAGCATGCCAGATTTAGGCTAAACCTATTTGAGATAGAGGTACACTCCTATGCTTTCTCATTCTATTATTTTTTTAGTATAACTATTTTTTAAGGGCTAATTGTCATTGATCCCTGACAAAATGAAATAGAAGTAAAAGCATCTTTTACTGGCTGTCATTAAGGCAAATACAATCATTATGGTGCCAGTCGTTCTTGGGGTTTTGTGTTGGTTTTGTTTTGCTTTGTTTTCTTGTTGCTTTTTTTGGTGGTTTTGTTTTGTTTTATTTTATTT